CTGGTAGCACCTTCCCTTCAGGTTGCAGTTGCTGAGGGTAGCAGTTGCCTGCATCATACTGCAAGGTACCAGAGGTGCTGAGGCCTGGAACTTGACGCTTGACTGTAAACATCCCCGTGTACAAATGCCAGCTGGACCATGTGGCTCGGTTTCTTGTCTCTTAGAAAGGCAACCAACTAACTGCCATAAGCAGAACTTTTCCCCAAAATACTTCATGTCTCTCTACACGACAAGGGGTCCATGTTTTAAAACAGGCAGGTTTATACTGCACTCCTATTAAGTGCCAGGCACTGGGGGAGGTTCTGGGACAGCAGTCGGGAAGACAGGCACAGATAAGGGAGACTCACTTATGATTTGGCGAACAATAAAATAGAAGTACCAGAAGCTGGAGAGCAGACATCATTTTGTTTTCAGCATCCTTTTATACTCAAAAACCTAGAAAATTCCAAAGTGTTTGTTTTAAATGTGGATTGCGGTTATCAACAATATTTGTTGCTGTAATCTTAACTATGCAAGTAAAATTTTAATTCATTAAAAGTAGCAATGAACTCTGTGTAAACATCCATATTATTACCCAGAGGTTACTTCAATTCCAGTCACCTTTGCTTGTAAATGCAATGGTTGGGTGGGTTCTAGAGCACCCTGGCTCCTCACAGACCTGTGAATCTGATTTCAACATTAACCATGTTTTTTTAAAACAGTTTTTATTTCCAAATACATTTATTTTTATGAGGTTCTTTTTTGGTAGAGCTGTTGGAGAACTGAATTTGTTGCTTGTTGTGATTTTGCTAGGTTCGTTTAAACATTACTAAGTATTTCTTGCTTTGATCTGGAAATGGTATAAAACTCTTTTCACTACTGTTGTTATTGGGCTTCCATTTCATTCGGGAGTACGTTTACAACCCAGGAGAGATACTGTCTACATGATCATTACTGCACAAGGCACACACTCTTTTTAAGTAAAATTTTATTTAAATTAGAAACAAGCTTGTTTTACATGCCAATTCCAGTTCCTCTCCCTCCCCTCCTCCCCTGCCCCCTACCAACCCCTTATCCCATGCCCTTTCTGCTCTCCAGCGAGGGTGAGGCCTTCCATGCGGGAATCTTCAAAGTCTGTCATCATTTGGAGCAGGGCCTAGACCTGAGAGAGTATCCCTCCATGTGGAATGGGCTCCCAAAGTCCATTCCTGTACTACGGATAAATACTGATCCACTACCAGAGGCCCCATAGATTAACCAGACTGACCTCCTCTTTCAGGGAGTCCGGATCAGTCCTATGCTGGTTTTCCAGCTATCAGTCTGGGGTCCATGAGCAACCCCTTGCTGTGAGTTTCTCCAGCCTAGTTTTGACCCCTTTGCTCATCACTCCTCCCTCTCTACAATTGGATTCCAGAGTTCATCTCAGTGTTTAGCTGTGTGTCTCTGCTTCTGCTTCCATCAGCTACTGGA